TTATTATTATTATTAATATTATTTTCATTAATATTAATCTCGTTGTACTTTATATCATTTTTTTCTTCTCTTGTAAATAATCGGCTATCTTTCTGCACGGAAAGATCGAAGGTGTTGAAGAAAAGAAAGGACAGAGGGACATGAAAGTTCACTCATATATAATACCAAAGTTTATCATAGTAAAATCTACTTCTCTTAGTTTTCTACATTCCTTTTCATACGATATTTGCCTCTGAAACCTGCATATAAAAATAGCATATACTTTTCTCAAGTAAACGTTTTTTCTACAAGTACAAGTTTTCTCCTGAATTTCAATGGATCTTTGTATGACTTTACAAATACTTTGCAGACATATTACGATTATCACTGCCTGTACAATGTCGTTTTGGAGTGTACCACATTTTTCCACTTTAAAAGAAACTTCTAGTTTGCCATTTACGCAGTACGACATGATTTTTTCAATTACTTGCATTGCTTGTGTCTCGAAGAATGGTTATTCGCGAGAATATCTCTATTCTGTATGAGAATCGTGATATTCTAGGTGTAAAATCCGAAGAATTGTCACTATAAAAATACAATACGAAACTTATTTCACGATGATTTGCTTTCGAATTTTATTGAAACGATGATCTTTGTAACGCCGGCTGAGATCTTCAGAAAGATAAAGCTTCCAAATGCATACAAAAAATAAGAATCGCTGAGAATACTTTCCAGTAGTATTGTTTTTATCTGTCGTAAAGATGAGCACACATGATGGTATATTTTATACGGTTTACGATCAACATATTTTTACAAAGTTGTTTTAGACTGAGCGTACAATAGGTCATTCGAATATTTGATTTTGTGGAATTGATACAGAACAAAATATTCGAAACGAAAACACCAGTATAATGCACATTACAATTATTTTGAACTTTTAAGATATATCGTTTTATAAAAACATCATGAGAATTCGATGATTTGAAAGAAACACGCACATACATATACATATACATACTTACATGTACACACGAGGAAAAAAAAAATCTAACGCTGCAGAACATAAAAGCGATTTTAATAGAACCTGTATTTCACTGTCGAGAAATAAGCGCAGGTACCGGAAAAAATTTTCATTACTGTGAGTTAAATTTCATATTTATAAAGAGCTCGGAATTAGTCGACATTACTTTTACAAAACGTGTATAACGTGAATTGCGTTCAAACAATGGGTCATATGATAAGAGCGTCTCTTTGTCTAAAATTTAGAAAAAAAAAGACTAAGTTTACCATTCTCTAGTGTGATTTCTATGCTGGCCTTGCAAAATCAAAGAAAGATTATCTATATCACAAAGAGATATGTGTTATTATATTACGAGAGAGAGAGTGTGAGTGCGAACGAGAGAGATAAAATATTACTGCTATAAATATATATTTTGTATTTAATATTAATCGCCCAAATCTATCTAACAGAACTGCGAATACTATTATTCTCCGACACTACGACACGAAAGTATATATTTCTTATGACTGGTGTAAGTATTCGCATACTATTCTATTTTTTTTTTTCTTTTCTATGCACAACTGTCAACTTGAAAATCAGTGGTAATGATGTTCGCCAATAAATAAAATAATTTAAACCAATTGTTTTGTAGTTATCATTATATAAAAATTATATAAAAGATTAAATGTATCTCATCAAAAATAAGACATTTTGATAGAATATAGAAATAAAAGATCTTCGGCCCAATGAATATATAATTATTAGAATATATAATATTTAAAATATCACAGTTCCCTACGATTTAAATAATCGGAAGATTATTTTTGCAAATAAAAAATTGCAACTTTACATTTAATAGATTTTGTAAATAAATATGATATATTTCATCGAGTATATGATAACTTTGAAATTCTCGTTAAAGAATTAATTTTGTATTAATCTTACTAAAAAGAAATCTATTTTCAACATTAAAAAATAATTTTTTTTTTCTTTCTAGGTGAATATATAGACATGACATCCAATGCATTTTTATATCGCATACACGGGGGAATCCCCGTATTTTTTTAGAACCTCTTTATTATTTTCGTGTAACATTCTGCTGTACCGATTGAAGCAGATTTTGCATTATAGCCACAGACGAGGTATATGAATAGTATACATTGCATCTTACGGACTTTCGTGGCCCGTGACCTGAAATACCGACACACTAAAAAATTACTGGTTTTAGCGCACTCTACGTTTAGACAACGGTGAGTTGAGGAACTAGTGAATGAACCACCAACAACAACAAATTTTGGTTTCAAAATCATGTTGTTGGTTCATTCACTAGTTCCTCAACTCACAGTTGTCTAAACGTAGAGTGCGCTAAAACCAGTAATTTTTTAGTGTGTCGGTATTTCAGGTCACGGGCCACGAAAGTCCGTAAGATGCAATGTCTATTCATATACTTCGTCGGTGCTAGCGCCACAGACGAGATATCCATATACCTCGTTTGTGCCAGCACCGTGAATAACAGTCTCGTCCACGAAGTATGTTTATTATCGACAATGCGAAACAGACTGCAGTGGCGGAATGAAAATGGCTAATTGTCAGGTTCGTTGGTGCAGCAGGTGAGCGATCAATTATCATTAATATCGGGACGTTAGTCGCTTTGGGATGAACGGTGCGCAGTTCACAGCGGTCGGAACTGCTGAATTCAGTGAAAATTGTGCAGATTCTAGTGTTGTCGAACGACTTAATGGATTATCTAAAGAGGTGTGCGATCGAGATTACCGTTGAAAGGCTTGCTGGCCCCTTTTTTTTCTATAGTGATAACAAGTTTTCAGTTTGTCAGAAATGAGTCAGCCGGCGATCGTTACACGTCTGAACTCGCTTGCATACGAGAATCAATAACCTCGCAGTTGACAGGGGGAAAATAGGAACGGATGCGACGCGGTCTCGAAAGATTGAGACACATCAGCAAAACGTAGATTAATTTATTACGTCCATTCAGAAAACATACGTCTACCCGTTGTTTCTGCCGTATTAGTAACCGCTTGGAAAAAAGTGATGCATGAAAAGTCTCGATATTACGAGGCACGTGTTTGTATTGGAGTAAGAGCTACCCTGTGTGTGTGTATGCGTGCGTG